TGATTTAAAGTGAGAAACATTTTCTGTACATAAGTTTGAGTATTGTTTGTATAAATATTTGGTGTTATTTTTTATATCGAAAAACATCGACAAAATTATTTGTTATTAATAAAATAAATTTCTACGATTTACCCTACGCTTATGGAGTCGAACTTTGGGGGAAAAAATCAATGGGGAAAAATAAAATCCCTAGATTACTAAAGTAACGCGAATAGCAGCCATTTTCGGTCAGTTTGGGAACCGCGAAATTTGAAATTGAACAACAGTCGGAAACATCGGAAAGTATGTATTTTGCAGTCGCTCTTGGATTGTGCGGATATTTTTGGATAGGGCAAGTTTTGTGAGCGTATAGTTTTTAGCCTTTAACATCACAAGAAAAATATAGTTGCATCGCTTTTTCAATCGTTTCACGACTCCACGTAAAACCCTTATGTGTACTCAATTCTAAATATTTTAAATGATCTTCATTAAAAGTTCCGAAAAATTGTCTTCACTTCTGAGTAGGTAATTTCTTTTTTCGGTTTTTGTGTTCTTGCAAAAGCGCCTAGATGCGTTTCTCTAATGAATTAATGGTTAGGTACATCAGTACTCTCCTGAATGTACACACAAATATCATAATACAAAACAACAAATGTCAAACTACTTCGCAATTCGTCAGAAAATGGCAGGTTTTTTTGACAGTTTAGTCTAGGCGATAGAGAGTAAAATTGGCAAACTGGACATTTTGAGGTGGAAAAGAAAAAATGGTGGAATATATTAAAAATCCCACCCTCCAGACCCTGTGCTAAAGGCTCCAGCCACCCCACCATCCCCCAAAAACCGTGTTTTCGCTCTTTTTGGCTGATATCTCGCGATCTATGAGGTCTATATGAAATATTTTTAGCTGAAAATGTTTCACGGGAAATTTCATGCAAGGTAGATACTCAAAAGTTAGCCTAGGTGTACCTCTTAGCCTAGGAAATTCATAAAAGGAGGCGAAAATCATCATTTTCGTGTTTTTTTGCGCTTTTTTGCAAAAATATCGCGACCTTCAGGGCTAGATGAAATATTTTTAGCTGAAAATGCTCTTCGTGCAATTTCATACGAGATAGGTAACTGAAAAGTGGGCGTAAAGTCACCTTTCACCTTCAACTTTCATGTGTGAGGAAATATTCATTGTAAAACAAAATATTTCTATGCACCATTTATTCACGTAGAAACAGTATTTTCATATTAAAATATTCACAAATTCATTTATACCTCAACGTAATCATTATCCTCTGCAGATTCCACTTCTTCAGGCTCTTCGACGTCCTCTAGTGGTAGTGGGTCGTCTGAGATTACCGACTCGTAGTTCTCGTCTTCCGCTTTACCTGATGCATGGGTACCCTGAAGAGACGACGTCGCATTTAGGCACGATGCTCCATGACACTGGACGCAGAGTTCATTACACTTCAGACCTACAACAAGAAGCATTATGTCAAAAAAATGTTTATAATTATGTATACGATTATAATATTCTCTCGTGTGTCCTAAGTGTCCGGTAGAGAAGGTTTACCTGATTTCCTGCAACTGCAAGCAGTAATGCAACCACGTTCACAGCTACATGAAATAAGTTTGAGGAGACTTTCCTGACGCTTATCACAACGACTTCGGATCCAGCCCAGGAAAGTCTCCTCAAACTTATTTCATGTGGCTATGAACGTGGTTGCAATGACTGCTCGCAGTTTCAGAAAATCAGGTAAACCTTCTCCACCGGACACTTAGGAGTTAGCACACACGAGAGAATATTATATTCGTGCCTAAATGCGACGTCGTCACTTCAGGGTACTCATGCAGGTAAAGCGGAAGGCGAGGAGAACTATGAGTCGATAATTTCAGACGAACCACTAGCACTAGAGGACGTCGAAGAGCCTGAAGAAGTGGAATCTGCAGAGGATAATGATTACGTTGAGGTATACCGTATAAATGAATGTGTGAATATTGTAATATGAAAATACTGTTTCTACGTGAATAAATGGTACATAGAAATACTTTGTTTTACAATGACTATTCAATTCATCTAACATTTGTCACATTTCGACCAGTGAAATGTCGACATTTCAAATTGTTGAGCCAATGGGAACGAATTATAGTGATAATTTCACGTGTGGTATTTCAGCGATTATATCATTCATACGACATTGAGCCAATCAAAACTTCCACTTTCCTTAGATACCAATGCATTAATAAGCGATTATACCCTTGACGACGTGATATAATCGATTTGGTGTTTTCGCTATGTCATTTAAAGTCATAAATCTAGTATACACTATATTTGATGACAATAACAATAACTGTCAAAATAAAATTCTATTCATTATATAATCGTGTCGAATACCACTCGAGCATTACAAAATAATTTTTATACTACCTCGTAACTCGACGAATAATCCGTTGAAACACCACTCGACCTTCGGTCTCGTGGTGTTTCGGATCATTCGTCTCGTTATTCGGTAGTATAATCGATTATTTTGTATGCTCTTGTGATATTATAATTGACAATTCAACTCATGTATAAAAAATCACATAAGCCGCAGTGTAATTGTCACTTTGACAGCGGCAAAAGTTACCTGCAACTTTTCCAGCGACAAATGCACTAGTGGTTTTTTCACTTATTCATTTTCGAACCAATAATCGCATTATCCTTACCCATATGACTAGTTTGACGTCTGTCAATAATTGATTAGTTTGGTGAATTTCTTGTTCGTTAAATTGTCCTGCCGAATTACACTCGAGGTTTGTATTTAAACCGAATAAATTTGGGTTGTGGCAATTCAAATCTGTTTCCTTTTAGCAATTGGACTCGAAAAACTGTCAACCTAAAAATGCTCCACCTGCGGTGTCGCATTTTTATTAGTTGACAGTTTTTCTCGTCTAATTGCTAGGCAACAGATTTTCATTACCTAAACAACCCAAATTTACTCGGTAAAATACAAACCTCTTGTGCAATTATAAGTGATAATTTCACGTGTGGTATTTCAGCGACAATTCAATGCGATTATTCAATGACATTTGTCAAACTTCCACCAGTGAAATGTCGCGAAATTTTGTCGTATTAACCAGAACATTCTTCTTAGTTTGTTAATCAATTTCAACAACCGACTTATCACCACATCTTTTAATTTAATCACTCATAACGAATTAGCTTGGAGCACAAAAGTTCGAATAGAATCAATAGCAAAATGAAAAGCAACTTCCTTCCGTAATTTATTTTGACGTTTATTGTTGTCATGGAAATACATTCGCGTGGGTAATTATCTTAGACCATATAGTACATGGACTGCTATTCGCCCTATGCTTTCAATACAAAATGGGTGGTCATGGATAGAGGGCACTGTAGTCGTGGGTATATGAATCTCAGGGTAAACTAAAGTCGTGTAAACACCACCCGGATCGCGTAAAGAGTAGCTTTTATAGTAATCGCGTAGTACGGGAAGCTTTAATTACTCTTGATTATCTTCTCTACGTCCACAAATAAGAACAGGTTTGGTTCTTTTTGCATATCTAGGCCATTAATTAATTGACGTTTGTTAATTTATAGGTTGACAGTCTCAAATCGTATCTAATCGGACAACCTCGGACAGAGTCGTTTACCCTGAAACTCACATACCCAGGCGATGTCCTTGACCATATTTTAGTTACAATTAGCAGTCCATGTACTATATGGTCTAAGAGGCAAACTCATAAAAACAATTGACCGCTACTTGATACAAATTTAAAATAATAATTACAGTAAGTACCTAATTAACGTGGATGAGATTCCTTTCAAGTTACAATTGGCAGAGCAATTGGCCTTATCTCTCTTTGGAAAGTGCTGCTCCCGTTAGAAAACTGGAAACAGGTCGCTTCGATGGTACAGTTGACTCTGTGATGAATAAAAAAGAAAAATTTATATTCCTCCATGTTGATTTTAGTTTTGCCTAAATTATTATCTAGGTCTTGTTGCGGGTGAATTCACTGCGGTATGCCGTTGTATACCTACAACATTTTATTTATCGCACATCACTCAAGAAGAAATTGGTTCTCACCAGCCGTGACTGTTAGCTATCCGAAAAAACTTCTTTATCACAATGAGTTTTAATGTCAGTTTATTTTACTCGCGCTTTTTTACTTGGGAAGCGGATCTGGGGCTCGAAAATATCCTTTGCGCAAATTTCATTACTCGTAAATGAACGATCTTGCTACGAATCAGCGCTGCTAAACAGTTTTTCCTTGTCCTGGAATTTACTGCACACATGTAAAATTCGTCGCGAACCCGAGATTGTTTAAATGTTTCCCGACAACATACCCGAAATTTATGAGTTCTCGCTATTTAACACGTTTTTACCCGAAGTTAAACTGCTAATTCTCTACTACTACTCAGATAGATTTCACCCAATAAATGCACTTTCCGGGTCTTGAAATCGCACCACGCATCTTCCCACATACGCGAAAAAAAATCGGTAGAAAAATTCAGTCTTACTGCTTTCGCTATTTGAAACTCACCCGGTAGAAATACGGAAACGGGCCTTCGTTTCTTAACGCAACGACCTCGACTAGCGTATGGTTAGTGCATTTTTGTCACGTGCTCGGCTTTAAACAGAACTGAACGAAACATTTATGTCTCAAGAGAGAGTGGCAACCGCGCACATTTTCCGCAATACGTTTCTTGTTATCGCCAGACATACTTTAGTTCACGTTCGCTATGAAGCGGTACATGCGGACATTTTCCTATACTGAACAAAATACAAATTCAAACAAAATACTTTTTTTAATTTTTAAGCGATCACTCTTACACACATCGGAAACTGCTCTTTGTTTAGGAATGTAGGATCTAGCCACACAATTAGCAAATGATAAAAAAAAAAGTAAAATTACTCGGCTCTATTCAAGGGTGTAGTTTGCCTGAGAAGTGTAACATTTCCCTAAATCAGTACACGTCTTTAAAGCATACTAGTATCTTTTCATAATTTAGAGGATTAATTATTTACTTTTTGGTACTTTGATAGTTTTTGGTATTTTTTATACTTTTTGATCATTTTTAATGTTTCTACGCCTCTGAACCACAACGTTGTATAAAGACGAAAGCCATGATACTAACCGTGAACGAACTCACATTCCGCCATTCTTCTTTATTGTGCTACACGCGTTTTGTTGTTTTTCTTTATTTAGTGTTTCTATTTTCTGTTTTTAACGAGGTTTTTTTTTGAATGAGGAAATGGCGTAGAAGAAGCCCTGATAGCAGGAGGAAAGAAAACGGAGGCGATTTACGCTACTCGGAGAAGTTGGAACATGTCTCCGAAACGAGGTAGCGATCAATCTGCGGAAAAATTCCTAGTGAGCTGAAATTTTGTATACACCATTATTACGGCATTTTAATGAATATGTGAAAAATCGACATTGATATCGTGCCGGCTAAAAAAGTTATAATTAAGACTCCTCTGTAGTCAATCCGCCATATTGAAAAAAATGGCTAAACGTTATTATGAAATAATAATAATAATAATAATAATAGCCTTTATTCCCCATAGGTCTCATATCAAAATTTCACATATCAAAATATAAAAAAACGATTATAGTTATTCATAACAATAAAGAAAAACTTCTAAATTAATGATCAAATGGCAAGATAAGAACTAGAAAAGGAAAAGAAGAAGAAGAAATTTAGTAGTACGTATTTATGAGGAATCACACGGTGCCAATTCAAATTAGTAGTTAAACCTACCATTGGTCTTCCATTGGAGCCGTGAAAAAAGATAAGAATAGCAAGGTGAAAATATGCCTATTCTAACTTAAACTAAAATTCTGAGATGTTAGGTCGGCGTCGGAACTAATTTGCAAACAATTATTTGTAATTTATCTTTATGTGACTGATGAATTGATGATGTTATTATGCGTCATTTTGAAGATGTAATAAAGAACGGAACACTTTTTTTTGAAGAGAGGAAGAGATGAAGCTTTGAGTTCAGCTGATAAGTTATTATAGACTTTATAAATTTGGTACTGAAAGGTGCGTTCGTATAGGGCAGTGGAATGCTTTGGTGGAGAAATTAAACCGCGGTATCTTAAATTTATATTATGAACATCTGTTCTAAAGCGGATTTTATTAAAGAGATAAGCTGGTGTCTTTGTGGTCAGTACTTTGTGGCAGAGTGTTGCAAACTGAAGTCTTCTTCTATTGCTCATATTCAGCCAGCTCAAATCACGCAGTTTATGCGAAATGCGTTCGAATTTACGTATACCATAAATCATTCGCATGCAACTGTTCTGTACTCGCTGAATGCGTCGTACCGTATCTTGCTTTATAGACGACCAATATAGCTCGGAGCAGTAATTGAAATGCGATAATACAAGAGAGTTACACAACAAAGCTTTTGTTTTTATTGGTAAAGATTTCCTATGTGGATATATTAACTTTAAATTGATTAAACTTTTCTTGAGGTACATATTGATTTGAGTATCGTATCTAAACGAATTGTCCATGTACAAACCTAAGTTTTTCACTTCGGTTTTAATCGGTATGTTTGTGTCGTTCAAAAAAAAATTTGCATGCTGGTTGATGGCTCGGATATTATCAGTATTTCCAAAAAATATTATTGAAGACTTCGCCGGATTTATGAACAGTGAATGCATACGTGAGACAGCTTCGATTGAACGTAGATCATCATTTATATTACGAACAGCAGCTATGGACTCATCCACGCGAAATGAATGTAGGATTTGGGTATCATCGGCGAACAAATGCTGCTTTTGTAGTTGCAGTCTAACAAATTCTCGATAGTGGATATTCTTTGCAATGATAAAAAGAACGGCGGTACTTAAAAAAAGTTGAAATATCAGTCTTAGTTTTTTTTAGGAGGATCGATGAATGGAAAAATCGTTTTTCGTAAATAACAGCCGTTGTAATGGGAGTAGAAAAACGTACAGCACCAATTTGAAAATCCGACAGTATTTCCTACGGCGGTACTTAAAGATATTATTTCCACCTATTACGATCATGCAAAAAATATGTATCGCGATCTTCAGAAAAAAATTATCAAAGTCCTCGTGTGAGATCGAAGGGACTTCAGCGCATTTTTGTGTGGCAGATCAGTGTTTTATTAGCCAATATTGACTCCACCATCAATAAGATCTTGCCGAAAGCTACCACGTTCACTTTGTCGGTACCATTTTCTCACTTACCGTGCACTCGCAATTCGCGTTTGAAGTTTTGACTCCACCATCAGTAAGATCTCGTTGGGGGTTACCACATTCCCTTTGTCGATACACAGTTCCGACGTCCCGTTCATTCGTAATTCACATTTTGGTAGATTTCGCTAAAATCCCGGCATAAAATCGTATTCAACTTTTGGGTACTTCACATAGCTCGACCTTCTATTAGTGACACGAGAAAGAGAGACCGCGATTCGCGCTGTAAGAAACTTTTGGGCGCCCAAAGTCGACTACCCCTCGAAGCGCGCCGCGCAAAAGGTGGTTTATTTCGCCCCTAGGAAACAAAAACAAAATTCCGCCACGCAGGAGTTGTGCGCGTTGACAAGATCTTCCCGACGACACCAATTTGAAAACAATCGGAGAAAAACTGTAGAAGAAGATAGATAAAAACTGAAAAATCTCCAGGTTAGTATAATACGCTCGGGGATGGCGTCCAAGATGTCGTCGACTCCAAATCTTGTAGCCCCATCCCTAACGTTCTTAATTACACGGCCCCGATAGGTACATGTACACTCCTTGTCTTTTTACAAGCGTTTTTCTACGGGCGCGCATTTACTGCCAGCCAGCCAGCCAGCCAAAGTGAGATTAAAAGCTACTTTTTACAAAAAAAAATTTTTGCAAAAATGCGCTAAAAATCAAAATGCTAACGTAAGGATAGGCAACTCAAATTGCACTGTAACTCCTGAGGCGACAACTCATTACTTGAAAGGGAAAACAAAAGAAACTAACGGGCGATCAAAAATGAGTTGCTGTCGAGTCGCCTTTGGAAGTTCAAGTTAATTACGATTTTCCATGTAAACAAAAATTTCAAAGGTGACTCGACAGCAACTCATTTTTGATCGCATAGTACCTGACATTATCCTGCACTCCTGCACATTGTTACGCCGTTCCTAATGATGTGGATTAAATAAATTACTATATAATTAGCCAATGTTCATGAATGCTGTTGATTTGTGAATCATAAATGGCACATAACTCCCAAGACGAAAAGTGCACTAAATGCATATTTATTGTAGGTACATGGAAATAATTTTTGATTTCTAAAATATTTTTCATTCTATCAGGATGCTTCAAGAAATTTGTTTAGGAAGGTTTTTAGCTAAACCCCTAGGCGGAATACGACTGTACCAGTAATTAGAAGGATTTTTGCCGCAAATTTGTTTTTGTGTAAAAATGTGGCACCGTTTTGATTTTTTGGACGAACGCTTGACCACCACACAAGCGGGAAGCGCAATATCGCAATTCGTAAACACTACTACTGAGTAGAGACTTGAGAGACAAGTGCTACTTATTTTTTTAATATGATTAGATATCAGGAATATCCGCTTATCAAAAAAATAAAGGAATGACAAATTTCGATTTTTGCAAATAAATTGGCGACAAAGTTGCGCCCAATAGATAACAAATGACACACAGGCATTTTTTTCGGCTATTAGCGGAACATAAACATAGGAAACGTCGTGGTATATTATACAATAACAGAAACGATACCGATATAGATACAGTCTGCGTAGTTTTCTAAATTTGATGTCCTTTTTTATTCTTGAGAATATTAGAAAACGGTTTTTACATTCTGAGTCTACCATTTCAAAGAATTCGATTGCACTTCTTCATTTTAACTGTTACAAAAAATGTTCCAATTCCCCTTGTTAGCTAAATTTCTAAGCGGGATACGATAACTAATAGGCGACACTAACAAGTTTATTTAAAAAAAGTGTCATTGTTTTGCTCATGTCAAGTCAAGGTAGCAAGACATCACGAAAATGATATTTGCATCAAAACAAGGGCGAAATTTTGGGTTTTCCCGGTAATTAGTGGAGGGTAAAAAAAATTCTCCCACTTTAAAAAAAATTCAACTATTTATTTTTTCCGTTTGAGAATATGATGGAATCCCGCAAACTTCACATCAACTTAGCGAATATGAACTGATATCATCTCGGATCTTGCATCTCAGAAAATAGAGAATCAACCGTGGTATCAACAAATTTTACAACTGAATTCTCAATTTAGGACAAAAAAGCGAAATCAACTTGCCGCACAAAAGATGTTCAGAAAAATTCTACATGGGTTGTGAATAAATATAAATAAGTATAACGCTAAATGTACAATTATTATTTTTTGAAAAGATAATTTATTTGAAATTCGGTATATGTTATACTTTTCATCATTGTAACAGAATTTTAAATGTTAGCTACCATTTTTATTAAAAAAAAAATACATTTTTTGTTGTTCACCCTTATACCTATATAAGAAAATAAAGAGATTTATTTTCGGTGTTCGAAGTGCCGGTTTACTGAATTCATTCATGCACATGTCTATCTAATAACTATAAAAATCTATAAGTCAGTAAAATTGATTAGAACAAATCATAGGAAATAAAGGGGTAATTAAAAATGTTAACAAACAATGCTAATCTAGTCCACTAATGACCTAAGAACCAGGTAATTTATAGAAGGTGTCATAGAAAAATGCAGTAAATGCATTGAATAAGTAATTTACCTCGTAATTTACTCAATAGTAAAAGAAATAGGTAGTGCATCTCCAGTTAAATATTGTACACCTTTTCGATAAACTTGTTTACATAATTAGTCCTTGATCAATATACATGGTCTATTGTGTTTAACAATAAATGAAGAGAATATGCAAAACTGGAAAGGATAGAGATACATAGTTGGTCTCACCCAAGGAGTAGGTAGGTACATCGTCTAGAGATGTGTATTGTTGGTGATCTAACCAATTGAAATAACATTGAAATATAAATTGACTACAGAAGAGCCTTAAAGGTCAAAAGGTCGCGAAAATCAGTTTTTGGCGAATATCTCGGGACCTATTGCTCGGAGGACAATAGAGGTTATTACAAAAATTGTTCATCGTGCAATTATGTATAAAAATATATATGACTCTTGCATTTTTCTGTAGGATCAACCGTTTTTTGCAGTAGAGCGCTGAGAAGACTACTAGAATGCAATCATATACATACGGTAGGTACCTATTGTATATCGTCATTGAATAAATATTAGGTACTTATTCAATGATATCGTACACCAAGGCGTAAACTTGGTTGCTTTTTATTCATGTTTTTAAGTATATTATTATTATTAGTCATGAAGATGCTTGAAAAAAGACCTGATTTAAACAATTCTGCAGAATGTGCAAATGTGGATGCACAAAAATTGGTTTGAGATGCTCTAAAGTTTGAGCATATCGACATTGAATGAATAAAAAATAATTACGTACAAAAGTTTATTGTTTTTCTATTTATCACTTATAATTGCACAAGAGGTTTGTATTTTAGCGACAATTCAACTCATGTATAAAAAATCACATAAGCCGCAGTGTAATTGTCACTTTGACAGAGGCAAAAGTTACCTGCAACTTTTCCAGCGACAAATGCACTAGTGGTTTTTTCACTTATTCATTTTCGAACCAATAATCGCATTATCCTTACCCATATGAATAGTTTGACGTCTGTCAATAATTGATTAGTTTGGTGAATTTCTTGTTCGTTAAATTGTCCTGCCGAATTACACTCGAGGTTTGTATTTAAACCGAATAAATTTGGGTTGTGGCAATTCAAATCTGTTTCCTTTTAGCAATTGGACTCGAAAAACTGTCAACCTAAAAATGCTCCACCTGCGGGGTCGCATTTTTATTAGTTGACAGTTTTTCTCGTCTAATTGCTAGGCAACAGATTTTCATTACCTAAACAACCCAAATTTACTCGGTAAAATACAAACCTCTTGTGCAATTATAAGTGAGTAAATTTGGGTTGTTAAGGTAATGAAAATTTGTTGCCTAGCAATTAGACGAGAAAAACTGTCAACTAATAAAAATGCGACACCGAAGGTGGAGCATTTTTAGGTTGACAGTTTTTAGAGTTCAATTGCTAAAAGGCAACAGATTTGAATTACAACAACACAAATTTACTCGGTTTAAATACAAACCTCGAGTGTAATTCGGCAGGACAATTTAACGAACAAGAAATTCACCAAACTAATCAATTATTGACAGACGTCATCTAGTCATATGGGACAGGATAATACGATATTTGGTTCGAAAATGAATAAGTGAAAAAACCACTCGTGCATTTGTCGCTGGAAAAGTTGCAGGTAACTTTTGCCGCCGTCAAAGTGACAATTGCACTGCGGCTTATGCGATTTTTTATACATGAGTTGAATTGTCAATTTTAAATAAAAAATTCGTCACTCAAATAAAAAAACCTGTTATTACAAATCATGGATTATGTCTACAGGGGAACCCATGTAAAAAAATACCCGATTTGCATTCTACCACAGTGGTGGTGCGGAATCGAGTGCCTAATCATAATTCAGCCGCATTTTCAGAGCTCTACTCCAAAAATTGTTCATCTTACAGAGAAATGCAATAAGAGACATTTTTTACAGATAATTGCACAGTAAATAATTATTTGTAATAACCTCTATTGTCCTCCGAGGAATAGGTCGCGAGATATTCGCGACCTTTTGACCTTCACAACTTTTAGCCGGCACGATATCAATGTCGATTTTTCACATATTCATTAAAATGCCGTAATAAAGGAGTATACAAAAATTCAGCTCACTAGGAATTGTTCCGCAAATAAAACCTATTATGACTGGACTATTAAGCATGTTGGCAAGCTTTTATTTCATATAGACAGATCTGTCTTCACTTTTACAAAAGTTAATGCAAGTAATTTGTCATTATATTTATTCTTTAAGAAGATATCTGACCATTGTGCAAGAATATATCTGGGGGCGAATTTGGTGATTTTAATTTCTCTTGGAAATAAAGTAGTGATCATATTCACATAGTTCAAAGCTCTATGGTTATGTACTTTACTGACAAAACCCAACGCTTCTATGGCGCTCGAAAGCTTTCAAAGTCTTCTGGGACGAATTTGTATGACCATGGCCAACTTAAATTGTTCAATAGTATCAAATGGTATGTTACCCCACACTGTTGAATGTTTGACCTGTCACACTTTTTCATCACAAAGGATCATCGCATGGTAACCAACACATAAATATTTTAGCCATCATCTAAGTGCCCCTTCACACTGGGCGACTTATCAGTCGCCTTAACCCGCGACGCAGTCGCACGTTTAGGGAATTCGTCTCGCGATTGGATTTGAACGTGCAACTGTGTCGCGGGCTAAGGTGACTTCGTCGCGCAGCCAGCAGCTGCGTCCCATCCCGCTGCTTGTAGCGCTGCTAAGTCACCCAGTGTGAAGAGGCATTAACTGTATTGCTAAATAGTGTTATATATTTTTTTTTTATACAGGAGCTATTCCAAAGAAGTGCATGTCCGCTAATTACCACCATGAAAGAGAAAGGCCAAGAATAATAAGTGCCCTTGCTAAAAGCGAATCGGAGAAAACGAACAGAAGGAAGCATGACAAATATCTTGATAACAGAAACGCTCACCGAAGCAGATCAATAAAAGAAAATAAATTAACACAAACTCTACGCCAAACGGAAAACGTCGTGGAAGGCCTAGAATGTTTGGTAATTCCGACGCACGCGCCCGCTCGTCTCCGAAAACTAAGTGTCACCCGTAGAAGTAATTTAAAAATGATCAAACCGTCGACCGACTGTTACCAAGAGGCATCGTCCAGTAGTTCCAATAACGAACTAAGCACACTGTTACCCTCCAATCCGCTTCTCTCCGCCTTTTTAGCAAGTAGACGTGATGCTCCCGCCATCTGTGTTTCATTACCAGCGCGAGACAGTACGAGACTGGATAAACGCGCGTCTTCGTGTCGACAGGGTCGCCTGAAACGAAATACGAGGGTACATCGGAGAGCTTTGCATAGTTCTCACCCGAATCACGAGACGAAATCTAATCAACGCGATTTGGCGATAGCAAGCACGATATCGTCCGGCCACGGAACGCATCGTGCCAAATCGTTTGAAGATACTTCGCACGGTTCGGTGCATTGTTTCGTCGACGAACATGGGAATTGGATTACGTACACGTTTGATGAAAAAAGTGTAGGTAAGTAAATTAATTGAGTTTTTGATCTTCAATCTTTCATATACTGGTCAATACTGGTATAGTAATTGCTTATTCTGCACTACTGTGCTATAAGCACATAGTGCTATAGCATTTCTACAATATTTTCGATTGAATGCCTCATATAATTATGATCGATTTTCAGGTAAGCTCAATTGAACATTGATTTTTTCTAGTGATGCAACACTGACCTCTGCTTCCGCACTTAAGTTCTGCATATTTTTTCGCTTCCATCTCCAATTCTGCTATTTGATAACGGAAGTATACCGGAATTTTTAAAACATGGTTCTGATTGGCCGACAGGGACCACACGACGTGAGACACGGACGAGCCGGCCGTTCACGTATCGCGACTTTAATTCATCTCGTCACTTCATCGCAACAATTCTTGCGTTGTGTCGCCGCACATTTTAATAAACTGAATTTTTATGACTAGTTTTGATCAAATTTGTAATAGTATTTACGCTTCCGCAAAACACATGTTGTCTTCTGTTTCCGCTTCTGCTTCCGTTATAACACTTCCGTGGCACCACTAATTTTTTCTCCCAAAGGTGTTTAAAAAGCTTTCTATTGCTTACAACTATCCTCATTCGTAATTATTGATTGCAGGCACTGCCAATGCAAATTTGCCATTGCCAAACTACAACAGCGGAAAAATTTTAAGCACCTTACTACGGCAAAGGGAGGCCGCGACGAACTCACGAGGCGCTAACCACCGAGGTTCCAGCGATATTTGGGACAGTAACAGTACGGAATCAATTTACAACAGTTCGGTGTCGATAATTCTGGACAACGCCACAAGGCAACCCCTACCCTCCGCGACAAACAGTATGATTCCTACCAGCAACACCTTACGGATAAACGCGGAACCGTTACGACATAGATTTTACACGAATAATTTAAGTGATAATACGATCATAGAAAATTTACGAGAGGTCTTCCCAAGTACGAATACCGACATCAACGTCGAAATGCAGGTGCCGAGGAATCGATTCCGCTACATTCAAGCGACGGACGCCGCGAATAACAATTATTCTAGGACAAAATCGTACTACAAGTTTAAAGTGTTTCCGTGGACGTTCATAAAAATTAGTTTGGACCGCTTGAACCTGCTAGCGTTGTTAGATCGTAACCTTACGCTAGGAGAAACTTTATTATCTACCTTTTTAGGTATTCTAGTCTCAGTTTTTGGTGCTGTTTTACTTTATTTAGATTTTTATCACGATTTACTCGCTTTGGTATTTTGCATTGTGATGTGCAGTTGTCAGTATTCGCTGTTGAAGAGCGTGCAACCGGATGCGGCGTCGCCTACGCACGGTTTCAACAGGGTAATCGCGTACTCCAGACCGATCTATTTTTGTTTGTTGTCGTCTATCATTTTAATTTTACACGCGAGTATAGCGCACGAATCTTACGATACTGCATTTACAGTGTACGGTGTGAATTTTACCAATAAGAACATATTGGTTTGTATTCGTGAGTTTATAGTTAATTTTATGTTGTTTTTTCCTGTTATATTTTCACTCGGATTGTTTCCCCAAATTAACACGTTTTCAATGTATGTTTTGGAACAAATTGACATGTTTATGTTTGGCGGTAATGCGATGTGCAGTTTGTCGGCGTCTATTTATTGCGTATTTCGTTCACTTATGGCTGTGATAGTTTTGTACGGATTAGCATACGGCGGTTTAATAGAAGCTAAATCTTCTCAACATATTCTATTTTCTATGTTCTGTGCTTGCCTGATAGCAATGTCGTACCATTTAAGTAGAAGTGCGAGTGATTTCTCACATATTTGGAACATTATCAAGAAACACTTATGGCCTCCGGATATTTATCGAGAATATAAAAAAACTCCAAAGAAATTTAATGTGGATGATTGCAATTGTGATAATAAGGAATGTAAAGGTGAAGAGTACACATCTGTGGATAAAAAAAGTGATAATTTAATTAACGATAGTACAGACACTAAAGAAGAACTAGTTGATCCTCTACCTCAAAAATTACAAAGCACTGTGAATGCTAGACTGAAAAGTGACATTATTTTGTGCGGACTAATCGCCGTATTCGTGTTTGGTATACATGCGAGTACCATATTCACCATTTTACAAGCGGAATTGGGAAAGGTACTCTGGTGTATCGCCGGCTCTTTAGGTTTCCTTCTACACTACATCATTCCGCAATTGCGAAAGCAGCTGCCTTGGTTGTGCATCGCACGGCCCATTTTAAGGGCGCATGAATACGGACAGTATCAAGTTAGAGGGCCGGCAAAAGTAATGTGGTTCGAAAGGGTACGGCTGCAAGTTCAAATTTGGTCGGATCCATCTTAAATTTTTACAAAAAGTACACAGTAACGACGCCCATTAGAAAAAGAGGTGCTTGCTAACTAATAACAGTGATTATTTGACAACAAAACATAAAATATTAATTTTTTGATTATTTTGACTAGCTTCACGTCCATTTACTCACAACATTCGGTGCCTTCCTAAAAACTTAGCAAATGGCTATAGTGGCCGCTTTATCCTCCGTTTGCCTGTGAGTCCGTTACAGTTTAATTGTTGCTTGACAAACAGATTACAGAATAATAATTAATAGTCTGCTTCTGGTTTTCCGTTATATAACTTACCCTCAGAGTTTGAGACCGCTACTAACGCTATAGTGAGTGCCTTATTATTATTTTCAAAGCTGGTCCCTGTACCGTGGCCTTAAGGCCTATTGTTAGTTTTCGTCTCGCTCCCGTAGTCTCTTTGAAGGAGCATGGCATCCTCCACAGAACAGCATCTTGCTTTATTCTTCCAAGGAACCTGCACCTTGATCGGTGAAATGCCTCGCAGTATATGCAGAGGAGTTTCTTCTTTTACATAGGCACTTGGGAGTAAAAGCAAATGTAACACCAATTTCAAAATTGGTTTTGCGCATGCGCAGTAGCATACCCAGGAGCTCGTTTGCTATATCTGTTCACCTTATCTTATTATACCATGGGACCTTGTAGTGCTTTGCTTTCTCTCTGACCCTCAAGTATTTTTCGTGCCATTTTCAGAGTGACTTTCAATTCTTTTTCCAATTGTTACTATTCTGCAATGCGACATACCGGTTGTGGTCTTATAAAAGGCATCTGTTGACCTTCTCTGACTAGTCGGTCAGCCATTTCATTACCCTTAATGACAGTATGCCCGCACATCATATCACCTTCACGTTATCTTCCTCCAGCTGACTAAGGTATCCAATCCATTCCAGCGTCTCCAGCACTAAACCTGAGTTCACTTCTTGCGTCCCTTTTCCAATGGTACTGTGTTGAAATTTACATGTGCTGACGGACTCCGGACAATTTTATGGTACAATGGAACAAACGGCTTACAATTGTAAGATGTCGCCTGGAGCAGAGGTGACTGTTTTAAACTCACCTTCAAATTGTAGACTCCGTGTAAAATTTCGAAAATGGCGAAAAGTTGGGTGTTGTTATCCTGCAGATCAGTAAACCTTAAACCTCAAATGTAACTATCACGCAAACAGAGTGCCGGAAGGGGATACTCGCAAAAGGATGATAGTTGACGACTAAACGTTTCTATGAGTGAGGTCAAAATGCGAATATCCTGTGAACAGTGGGATTCTTCATATCTTATTATATCTTGCTATGTGCAATGGCGAACGGTCACTAAGCCACCCACAAAAACCTGTCCAGATAGCTCAATTAGAGTCACTCACGAAAACGATCAACATGAAACGCTTAAAATCCAGGGTCGCAATTTGGGCTCAAACTGATATAAAACTGATAAAACATAAATTTATTCGATAATTCCTGTAATAAAAAGTAGCCGCAGTGCCAGTCACAAATACCACGCACGCAGGCGTTCGATCGCAGCAGGTTAAATAAAGTCTTAATTACCTTGTAATATCAATAATCCAAATATAGTCTTACACTGTGATTTACAGACGCGTAAAAACAAACACTAAACTGAATTCGTCTCAGAAACATCTTGCTTTATTAAATAACACTTTGTCCAAATAGGTGACACAAAATTTCTCTTTAATTCGAAAAATACAAAGGACACAGACAAAAAGGCCTTTTACAACGTTCCTCCTTTATTTATCACATTTTCCTCTCTTGTCCCATCTTCTATTCCACTTCCTTAATCTTTAGTTAAAATACGCAAACATATCTTATCTAAACGCGCACCTGCGACAACATCTGTTTACAAAACGATTTAACTTTAGCAATACGTGCAGTAGCGACAGACTTAAAATTAAATAAACTTCTATACACACCTAATACAATGCTAACAAATCATTGCTAGAATGGCCGGGGGGTACTGGAAACTGACTGCGCCCCGTTTTTTTGTTAATTTTCAAAACTGCACCCCAAACACTAACATTTTACTCTTAAGCTTTTTGTAAAAATTTAAAATGTGTCGGGCCAACTTCACAGTGTTCAAGTGTTCTAATTGACGTGTGAACTTTTCAGATATATGTCTACTTGTGCTTTTTGGAAAGAAACATGCTTTATCCGCTGATATTTCTTGCCGCTTTAACAGAAGACTCGCCGAGAATTGTCAACAAATTTGGAGCACTCTGTGGTTCCTTGATTGTTGTTATGTGTGGATTGCGATGCATACGAGGGTCCTACTCGAACCAAAACTCTCAGTACTTAATTTTAATTTTTACAGTTTTGTTGTTTCGTTATGACTATAAGCATTTTCATGAAGGTTTCTTAATCGACTATTTTCTAGTGAGTATCCTATACCATCGTGCTTATGAATTAATGTTGAAGGTAAGCGCCGCGAAATTTAAGTAATTAATATTTGTACGTATTTTCTTTAGCTTCAATTTGTGGTGACGTACATAGCGCCATGGCAGATTACGTGGGGCTCTGCGTTTCACGCATTTGCCCAACCGTTTTCTGTGCCACACTCCGCTATGTTATTTCTGCAAGCAATCATATCAGCAACTCTATCGACCCCGCTGAATCCTTTTTTAGGTAACTTTCACTTTTGTGCTAATCAGTGATGACTACGAACTTATAAATTAAGACGGACTGCTAATGCTGAATTGACAAATGACACCTACATGGGGGCAGCCATGATGTGCCCTCACTTGGCGCGAAATTCAAATCAACTAATAAACAAGCATTAACCGCACGTTTTCCAAATAAATTACTGTGACACATGTCATTTTCCAAGACTGCCATAGTCTCAAAACTTGAGCACTAGGAAAATTCCCCTAGAAAATAACTAAAACGTGACCGTCATCATGGCCGCGCCCGCGCTCATGCTACGGCCATTTCGACATCTATGCAACTGATCAGCAGTCCATCTTAATTTAGAAGTTCGTGGTGATGACCTAAAGAAATTTTAGGAAGCGCCATCTTTCTCACTTCGTACGTTCGCCCCATCAAATTTTGGGAACGTGACTACAACACGCGAAGAGTTGACCATTCGAATACACCCCTATCGTCACATCTGGACCGTAATTTAGGCGCAGATGACAATAATTTAAACTCGATTTTTTACGAGCACCTAACCCGATCCCTGCAGCATTCACTTTGCGGAGATCTAATACTGGGACGATGGGGTCCTGTGAACCAAGGCGATTGCTTTGTTTTGGCGTCTGATTATTTAAACTGTTTGGTGCATATCATCGAACTCGGAAATGGGCTGGTGACCTTTCAGATGCGTGGACTTGAATTTCGGGGTACTTACTGCCAACAGCGCGAAGTGGAGGCTATTACAGAAGGAGTTGAAGAAAATGATGGTATGGCATTGTCTTGTTTGTGTATTTTGTGTTGTTGCAAGGATCTTTCGATGAAAAGACAGAAGGATTTAAAAGTATAGGTAACTTCTGGATTCTCATAATCCAGAATTTCCACTTCTCCAATATGAAACGCACAACTCATCGTAAAATCTGCATCTTCTTACCAGCACCAGAACAGGTGCATTAATTAAATTTCGCCAGACCCCTTATCACAAACGACCTTATATAAATTGAATAATTTACAAAAGCGATAAAATTTAAACGAAAACTACAAAATTACAGATTTCTAAGGGGAAAAAACCAACACTGAAATAGAAACTCAAGTAAAACAAACAACCTTCGTAAATAACTGTCCAGATTTAATTAATAAATTGAAAGTGAAAGTGTGATTGGTTAAAACACTAGTCAGTATTATGCTGAAACATAAAACGAGTGGCGAATTTTGCAAGCTGGTAGTTTCTGTTGCCATCTAAACTGTTGGAAGTGTCATTAACTGTTAATGTCAAAGATTTATTTCTGTTTGCAGTGCTGAATATTTCTACTTTACAATAATTTGGTGCCATTTTATATTTTTCCTGTGTGTGCTTATCTTCAAACACAGCGCCATCTACTACCTTCTTATAATGAATGCAGTATAGTCATATATTTTTTGATGACCAATAAACTATCTATCTATAAAATGAACCCAAGCTGGAGAAAATCAAAATAGTTAAATAACTGACAAAAGTTTACAACTCCCAAAAAAGGTTTGAAGCTTTTATACAAACTATTTTTTAGTAATATAATTATTGACAGAGATATATAGGACATTCCACCCTTTTTGAACCCTGTATATGAGTGCGCTTTTATGAAAAAAATCTAATCTTTTACCCCTCATATCAGTGGAAATTACTGTGTGCACCAAAAAAAATGAAACAATTTTATAATGACCCTACAATTTTTTAGTTAAGAGATAGAGAAAAATGTTTATTACAACAGTTCTTTTATGATTCTTGAATAATCTACAGTTTCCAAAATTCGTATACGAGGTCAGGTAAGAGAGTTATCAGACCTTGCATCAGTTTTTTAAATGGAACGCGCTGTATATTGTCATCTAAAAAGATAGCACATTAAATACTCTTTTCAGAAATCTAACACAAAAGGGATGATATAAGATTCAGGTGCTTCAAAAAAATCCAAAAACAATTCAAAAAGGTTAAACAATTTAAACAAGGATCAAATGACAAAAAACAAGACTTTTTTTAATTTTTTGAATCTATATTGAATTTTTTTAGTAGAGTATATTTTATCTTTTTAGGTATATAAAGTGAGGTCCGATAACGTATTTACCTGACTCTGTACACTGAGTTTGAAAACGGCAGATTTATTATCAGTTCATTTTCTTAAACCACCCTATATCTAATCTAAAAAGATGTCTAAAAATATAACAAGTTGTTTGTTTGTTTTTTGTATTTTTTGAATCAGTTGAACTTTTTTTAAAATATTTTTTTTAATATGATCTCTTAAGTGTTATATTTTGAAAAAGATAATTTAATATGCTCGTTTTAGATGGCAATATACAGGGTGTTCCATTTAAAAAAATGTATAAGGGTCATCTAAAATTAACCATTGTTTGATTTCCCTTTATCTCTTAAGCCAGCGAATATTTTGAGTTTACTTAAAAAGAGTACATGACGCTTTGTTACTTTTTTTTATAGCACCAACAAATACATAGTTAGCCTATAAGTGTCGAAAATGGGACACCCAGGACATAAATGAATATCTACTTCGTTTTTTCAAAGCCTTGCAAATTTTTAGATGCATTTTGACATTTCATTGTGTGATTCCGAGGAATTAGTACGCGCTGTACTTTTAAGTACGCATACCTATCTGTATTCTCAGATATGCAGTGGTAGAGATTGTTCCAATACTAAAAGATGTTTGCGCAGAAATCAATTTTGATATGGATGAAAATGTACTATCTAATCCAAAAATGTTGGCATTTGTTACTTTTTCTTTGAACTGTTGAAAGCTGTTATACAATTTATTCGAGTACAAAAAGATCATAATACAAACGCACTGCAACATCATATAGGCAAAATGATAATCTCAAATATAATTCCATGTAAAAAGACACATGCCTAATACCATTTTAACACACGAGACTACTTAAAGACTACTCAAAATGTGTACACAAGGAATGATAAATCTAATTATAAAGCACATTTATTAACAAGATATACTTTATTCCATTAATGTTATTTGTTATTTGGCAGATATCATGAAATTTTGTTGGCCTTTTATCTAAAAAATTTGAAATCAATCTCGTCTAAATATGTAGAACGGTTCACGCTCTAGATCGACCTTAATTAGTTACTTTACTGTCATGCCCGTTTGCACCGACAAATTTAAGCAGACCTTATCTTAAGCGTAGCTTAAAATCCATGGTAACCATTGTCTCAATAATCGTTACCATGGATTTTAAGCTAAGCTCCACTTAAATTCGTTGGTGCAAACGGCCATCATTCAGACAATTCTTATGGACATACCGCCTAACACAAGCGGTAGATGAGGGAGAACCTTTTTCCAAAAATACTGATCGTACTATCACCCTACTCAAATCCAGATTCACCATATATGTTATATACATCCTTGGGTTTGTAGCTTTCTAACTAGTGGATTCACATTTGACCTCATAATCTTCCGTTTATATTCTGATGAGTTTTATTATTAGGTTTTTGCTGCTGTGAGCCCGGCCATTTACCAAACATGCTAAGCGCCAATGCCGCGTTCAGTCAGCGATGGTTAGCGTGGGAGGTGACCGCGGCAAAATACGTCCTTGAAGGTTACAGCATCTCGGACAACAGCGCCGTCTCCATGTTACAGGTCTTCGACTTTCGCAAAGTACTTATCACGTACTACGTTAAGGTAAGACGCCTCGTCTAAAACGTCGCCTAACCATCGCGCAATTTAAGAGTATTATATTTTACGCGATCCGTTCCCCGAAATTAGAAGATTGGCTGACATCCCAAACCATCCTTAAAGCCTTGCAACCTATACAGGATCGGAATTTCGTCGACCTGGATCCAGTGTTCAATTTTAACATCGACGAAGACTTTGATTTGTGCGTGTGCGGTATGACGAGGAACATGTTTTTTCAAGTTTACGGCGACTGGATTGGTTATTGCTCGGAGAAGTGGGGGAAAACTGTTGACTCTAACGTAAATTCGACTTTAGTATTATTGTGTTTCGCATTGAGTCTGTTAGGTACTATGTAATTAGGTCGTAAGTCAAACTACAAGAATAATTTTAGGTCGAAGAACGCTCGGCGCAGTTTCCCACAATACGGTTTCGAGCGTCGAATTCTTTTTGTACGGTTTACACGCGCTGTTTAAGGGAGATTTTCGTATTACGTGTACACGAGACGAATGGGTGTTCTCTGATATGGACTTATTGAAAACGGTCGTAGCTCCAGGCGTGCGGATGTCCCTAAAATTGCATCAGGACCATTTTATGTCGCCAGATGAGTATGAAGAAATGCCCGCCCTGTTTGAAGCTATTTGCAAGCACGAAGAGGAACTTGTCATTTCACACGAAGGCGATCCGGCTTGGCGCAATGCTGTACTTAGTGGCACGCCAAGTTTACTGGCGTTAAGACACGTCCTCGATGACGGGACGGATGAATACAAAATTATCATGTTGAATAAGCGTTACCTTAATTTTCGTGTTATCAAAATAAATCGAGAATGTGTGCGGGGCTTATGGGCGGGGCAACAGCAAGAATTGGTTTACTTGCGCAATCGCAATCCTGAACGTGGAAGCATACAAAATGCGAAGCAAGCCTTGCGTAACATTATAAACTCTTCTTGTGACCAACCTATTGGTTATCCCATCTACGTGTCTCCTCTCACAACTAGCTATGCCGAAACCAATGAGCAATTATGTGGTATTGTAGGGGGGTCTTTAAGCCTTACTAAAATTCGTAATTATCTCGTCGACACTTTCTCCAGGTATTTGCGTTTGGGCTGTTATCGGTTTGAGGCTAACTTGTTTGTTTAAGAATACGAAAACGTTGCAGAGAGGGATGTTCGAGTGGCGGTTTGCAAGATGATATGGGGTTAGGTCAAGATGGTGTTTATGCCATGACGCCTATGGCGACGTTAGGACATCACACTACTGGCAGTCAGTCGACGGACGGGTCACATTTTGGAGGAAGCATGGGGCGAGGTGCGAGTCTAAGTCGAACATCACTAGGTACTGGTTTACTTTATTCTTTTCTAATCATTTCATGTAAATTGGCGCAGGAGGAAATAGGGGGAGTCTGGCGTCGATGGGTAAACCGACCAGTTCGACCCTTGCCAGTTTGGCGGGTCTATTTAAGGAACGCGATGAGCGCGCCGTTTCTCAGGCTCCAGACGGTCAGGCGCGTTGTGATGAACGGTTGCAAGAAACTTTGGAAACGGCCGAAAATGAGGTTTCCGCTCAAAGGGTCAAAGTAAAGTTGGATCGCTTTACTACAGCACTTTTACTAGGGCAATTGTTTTAGATTGTCGATCCCAACTTAGTGTACGATTGTATAAATCTCGGTAGAAGAATTGACGTTAGCTGGCCAGATGAAAATATGCGAGCCAAAGGGGGACGGTCGCATTGGAGAGATTGGTTACCAGAATCTGGAATGGAAGGCCAGGTAGGTACTTATTGGGTATTATAATGTTCTTGTTTAGATCTTAATGTTTATTGGTGCCTTAAACCGTTATTGATTTCTAACAATCCTGACCCAAATGTTATTGAAACTCCTTGCGCCGCCGAATGTTCAAAGCGAGTAGACTCACTGAAAATGGGCGTGGTCTATTTTGAACCCGAACGTAATTGGTGCACCTGTTAGAAAGTTATTCAAAGTGGGCGTGTCAAACATTGGCATTATTTTGACATCTCCTTTTTTTGTTGTGTAATTGCAATGTTCACAATTAGAGATTTTGAAAATATGCAATAGACGACGATTTCATAAATTATCCTTATTGTTGGTTGCATAATTGCACTGATCACATTTAAAATTATTGAAAATAACGTGACAAAATGTAAATGTTTTCAACTACCCCTGTCACTACAATATTGATTACTTTTGATCCATTGTAAATAAACAAAATGGCGGTCTTCTCCCACCTGTATTAATTACAATGTGCTGCTACCAGAGGTCGCACTGTTGAATCGCGAATAAACATACAGTTTCAGTAACTTGTTTATGTTTTTTTTAAAACTGCAACGTTCAACTACACTTCATTAGAAATGCAAAATACACTTTTTACTGATACCTGTTTCTACTTTCAGGTAGTTCATCGTTGGAGTCCTTGTCATCGTGATCCAAGCAGACGTTCCCATGTAGACCGCACAATTTTACTTGTAAAAATCGATGACAAATATGTGCCCATAGCCGAAAGTGGTGTACAAAACTTAGGTGCAGAAGTTTAGCAAATGTTTATTTACTATTGTCATCGATAATATTGAGATGCCTACATCTTTGTTTAATGTACGCGTTGTTGCTAAGAATTTTGCCATACTTCCCCATAGTATTCAGAACTCTCTATTTTGACATTTAGAAACGAATATTTTTACTTTCTACATTCAATTAGTTCGCCTCTCTTTTTTAAATTGCAAAATCTATAATTCAATAATTAAGTTACAATTTGCTTTTTACTTCTTGTACCACAATGGTCAACCATGTACAGTTTGTTAGTTACTTTTTAGCTGAACTATATTCTTAAAATTGCCAGAAGAAAAAGCGGGTGATAATTTTTAAATTAAATGTTTAATTGTCGAAGCCCTTTGTTATCAATTATGAATTGATTCCTATTGTGTTCATTGTGCTGATTGAATTGAATAATTACACTGATATATGTGATTGGATTAATTCTAAAATGTGTAATAATCTATCAATTCATGGTGTAAGCAAATCAATTTGAGTGATTGTTGATTCCTGAGTGAAGTGAAAGTGATTTAATCATCAGAAAGAAAAATACCTATTGATGGCGTAATTATATTTTTGTTCATTGGGTGCATTGGCAAGTAGGCAGAATAGAACTGTTCGAAATTGAGTATGTGCTGTACTTTAAATCAAACAAAAGTTGTATATGACTCATCACATAAAAGCGCCGTTCTCTAGGCTTATGTGATATTGATACCAAAAATTTCTTGGTTTGTAGTTGGTAATTACAGATTGTGAAGTATTCAAAAAAGCATCTTTTAATCCAAGTAAGTGGTGAGTCACACACAACATGCTTTCAATTGAGCTATAATACAGTAGGGTAGCTACAACAATCAGTTTGGCCATTTTTAGATCAATGAACCAACCACTATTAAACTACTTCGGTTTTTTATTTAATAACAATTTGCAATTTCCTAATAATTTTTATATGTCTTTTCTACATCTTTGTTTAAAATTAACTCACAGTAGGTATGCGTAAGTGTTCTCTTTTCCCATATGTAGCAAATAAGCAAGTAAACTACAATTTTTTGAATCTCTCTTGTTAATTTGTACTTATTTATAATTTTGATTGCAGTTATTTTCTCTATTAATTATATAAAAATGATTAATACATTGGTGCTGATTGACGTACAAAGCTAGTCTGTCAGAAGTTGATATAAGAATTGTGCAGTGTATAAAATTGTTGATTAAACAGAAAGCACCAATTATATAAAGATATCAATACAAAGCAACATATTTTTGGTGCAATTTGACATACCTAAATAATCTTGTAAAAATTATTACTAAATAGCACTTGTTTTTAGTGTATTTTCACGTCCAAAGATTTAAATGTAGAGGTATTTAATTGTACATAATGATATATACCTATATTAATGCTTATTACAATATGTGAACTGTTAACGCAGATGCCTTAATAATTGATAGACTGATTTTAGGTGTATTTATTCAGTGTATTATTTGTTCGAATGTAACTGTATACTGGATAATTAAATTTAGAATTATTTTGAAATATTTTTTATTGTTTTCTCAGCTCCGAGATCGTATAGGAAGAAATAATTAAATGAAGGAAGTGAATATTACATGACATTATTTATTGGGGCCCCTTGTAGAACATTTTTAACCCATTCCAGTGCGCTCCGAGTCCTGCGCAACATTTTTCCCCGAAATTAGCTACAAAACTTTATAAGGCAGCTATAGCACTTATTATTTCCAGAGCATTATATACATTTTTGAGAGCTCTACAGACTCTTTCAAAAGCATTCTAGAATCTAGATCATCCAAAGCGCTTCCTTCCAGACTATCACAGTTACATACTTTGTAAAACTGGCTACGCACACACTGTTTCCAATTAGGTTAAATCGAATTGAATTTGTGACAAGACTATATAAGAATTGTTCTAAAAAACGTGTAAAACCAAAATTATGGCTCTAAAACCTATACCTAGAGATCACGCAAATAAAAATGCTATATGCAATGGCAAACGATCACCAAAACGCCTGTCGCCCTACCTCAATTATACTCAGGTACTAGGACCAAGACAAGACGACAATCTTGATGTGTAAATTTTATTGATTTGAGAAATTCAGCAGTTTTAACGTAAAGAAATTCAATTCACGAAAATCAAACAAACGCTTGACCGAAAAAAGGCGTCGTTTAACGCCCGGTTCGCTTATTTAAAACTTTTGGCCTCTCCTCACTTCCGTTGAAAAAACAAACTTCATCTGTGTTTTCTAACCGGCAATTTACACGTCCTTATCTTGACCCTTAAGTAACTTTAGAGCGATAAGAATGCTTCTTATATACGACCGGAGAAAAGCATGAGATAAACCTTTGACAAATACTATAAATTCCAGATGTTTAAATCTAGTCTTTTAACACGTAATTTACAATTACCAAAACAAAACATTGTACCTGAATACTACGGGCGCCACGTCGAAGTAATGCCGAGATTGTTGCATTGGCATCAAATATTTGCCTCCATCTGTGACAGTGCATTAAATATTTTGCTCCTTATTCCATGTTGATCTATAGAAGAGATTATTTTCCCAATTTTCAACAACGATTCGAAAAAGAAATCCAAGGAAACCTTTTGTAGAGTGTAGTCGGCACTTTCATTTTTTTTTCAATTAAATTTTTGATTATAGTTAAAGTGTCTTATTGTTTGTGTTCTTATATAGGTATCTTATAAGTAGTTAGGAATATTCTTTGAAATATTAAAAGGAACCACAAATGTTTTATTGTTTCTATAAAGCATTCGATTTCGGGTTAACCACCCATCATCAGGTTATGCTAAAAAATATCACATGAATTTGAAGTTGAACACAGGATTAAAATTATTACCGTCATTTGATATATATAAAATGCAGCGACATTGAGTTGAATAAAATTGGATTCAACTCAATGTCGCTGCATTTTATATATATCAAATGACGGTAATAATTTTAATCCGGTGTTCAACTTCATGTGATATTTTTTGGCATAGCCTGATGATGGGTGGTTAACCCGAAATCGATTGCTTTATAGAAACAATAAAACATTTGTGGTTCCTTTTAATATTTCAAAGAATCTCAACGAACCAAAAAATGGAGAACTTCATTACATATAGTTAGGAATAGTTTAGATTATGTATGGTCCAGAGATCGCTTGGAAGATCCGGGTATTGGTTGAGATTCCATTCTTTTGGCCTACCTTTCTTCCAGTTGTCCCCCTTGTGTAATGTGTAATGATACTTAGGCTTGGCAACTCTGGGGAAAACTACGAGCAGAGCCACCTACCTAACTTTCAAGTTGGAAACGACAGGCGTACGTTTCGCGGTAGCAGTCGATTCGACGTGGACGTCACGAACGAACTCCTACGTTGTGTAATCGGCTCTTTTATGTGTTGGGACCTGAAACATAATCGGGACGGAAATTGAATGAAATGCAGGATTTTGTGCGTAAGAAAAGACAAAAACAAATAAATATATACGTACACAACAAGGGAATACCAGGGCCAAAAAGCCCGGCATAGCCCATACAAATACATGAAATAAGTGAACTACAGCACATAAGCAATAAAACATCTCAAATTGAATGATAAAAATGAAGTAATCGAATCAAACGCAGTTAAATAACTTCATAAAACAAAACACACGAGACATTATAAATGCAAGTTGAAAACATGATAAATCAATTTAGTACAAAAACACGGTAAAACAGGTGCACGATCAAGATCAATTGACATACAACAGCTCGTAAAATGATAAATTTCATGTACAAAACAATCAATGCATGGCTCTACTCCAAGCACGGAAAGTACATGTGACAACGCCAATAGTAGTATTAACGTCAAAGTCCATTAGCATCCAAGCAAAAGACAATAGAAGAAAAGTTAATTAGAGGACCCCTTCTCGTATAGCTTACGCACCGTCCGGCAGCGGACCACGAGTAAGAAAGTCACAAATACAGCGAAGAAAAGGGCTATATTAGGTACTTCCTAAATAATGAAACAAAAATTGCAGTTTCTCAATCGTATAGCAGCAAGAGCATGCTATTATCGAAGCTCGGGTTTAGTACGAACTGGTCTAAGTCACACACTACCTGCACAATGCACATACAGGGTCGCTGATAAGTCTGGAAATTGTCGATTATCGGGGATAATATACAAGGTATCAAAAAAAAGCATAATGTACCCAAATGCAATCGTTTCCGAGTTATCGACTTTTGAAATGAGGGCGAGTACCTCTCTGTATGTGAAAAATGTTATTGTCCATTAAATGTTTGTTAGTCTGACGTTAGTAATACAATTGTACGTTGTTTTTTACAAAAAATAAAGATGAAATGAAAATAAAAGGTATATTATGCTTTAAAATTTATTGAATAAAGAACAATAATTAATGATACTAATTTCTTATGAAAACATTTTGTGGTTCTGGAAAGAACCGTTTGTGAAGTGTGTTGATTGTTTGGAATCATTAATTATTGTTTTTTGTTCAATTAATGAATTTTAAAATAATAGCGTTTATTTTCAAAACTCGAAAACGATTGAGTTTAGGAACACTAGGCTTATTACAAATGTTGCCTAAAATTAAAAGAATTGAAATATTGAAAAATATACAGGATGTCCCATTTTTAAAAAATGCAATTTTAGTGTGCCGCCCCTTTATGAGCACCCCTGTATAATTAAAATTATTACTGCCCAGTAGACATTATAAAATCCCAAAACTTTTGTATGAAACATATTCTTTATTTTGCATTTTTATTTTTGAGTGGGCGGGGTTTCAGCCAAGGCTACTCTATCAACCCAACCCACTATACATTTACAAATATCTATGCCCGAACCCGGATTCGAACCAGGGACCCTTAGCACCACAGTTCAGCTTTAACTGAACTGCGCCACACGGGCCATAATCGACTGTTTCCAGACTTATCAGTGATCCTGTATAGTGGTGCCAAAAGATCTTGTTATCAGGTCCTTGAGAGTTACATATTTGTAGACCGAGAGCCGTATGCCTATGATATTGGACCTTGGTTAGTTGTTAATTGTTATCTTGTTATTTTACTTTTCTTTCACATTGTATGAGTGGTAATCCACAAAATCCCTTGTTTGGGTGACCCATCGGGCATTTGCCCGGTTGTCCATCGGCCCGACTGCCTAACGCTTTGGCTATTCAAAAGAACGTATGTGTACTGCCAAAGAGTAGGTGTCATTGCATTTATAACTAAATTCAACAATCAATGGTACTGTAAAACAACCCATAGAAGAAAAGTAAACTGACATTTCCTCTCCCATTTGAAGAACAATGGGTGTAAAGCAAAACCTACCCGTACTTCGTTCTTATAAGAATATGGAGTGGACTTAAGTTAGGGGATGGAAGGGAAACGAAAACAGAAGAATGTGACACCACGTCGCGTCGTCGCCCAACGCCTGTGTTACGTTAGTTGCATAAATATTAAATAACTAAATTATTGTTTAAATTTGCTAGAGGGAGTCCGGAGTCACCAAAAATTAAATTCCATTATTCATTTCGTAGGCGGACAAAATTAATATTGCATTTTATCGAACGTACTTACCTATTGTTTTCCTGTATTGCAAATAACGCAACCGTTTTGCCTCCTTTTCTGACGCATTAGAAAATAAACGTATAATCCTACAGGTTAATTAGAAAATAGTGGGAGAACTATACGTTCACCTGACAAGTTTGTGTTACCTGCAACTTGAAGAACGTCGCATTCGCATATCTCTGTTATTCTTCGTTATCGTGAGTGAATTGTTTGCCTTTTTGTAGCTTTCTGCTTGTGTACGTGCGAGTTTTGTCGGTTCAGTGGACAATTATTATTGCGTGGGGTTTTTATTAATTTAAAAATGGTAAGTTTGAACTTTTTACATGAGCGAATTAGAACAAAAATTACATGAGCTCCCAAGGGACGTTTCATTGATTGGCAAAGA